TGACATTCTGTAGTTTTGTCTCATATTAATCTTTTAATCATATTTGCAGATGTCTTGACTCCACAGCAAACAGACCAATTTTGTCATTACTGTCCCAATGCTTATGGAGGCACTATATATATATATACATACAGAGCTGGGCAGATTACTTACTAATTGTAATCCGCTACTGATTCCAAATTACATGACAATAATTGTAGTTAGTAACGTAATCCATTACATTACACATTTTAGGTAATGTAATCAGACTACTTTTAGATTACTTTTGACCCAAGTCATTTGTCACATTGATTTAAACAGGATGATTTCATACGCTATTGATATACAAATACAAAGAGAAGGAAAATACATTCTGTTCATTGTAATTAATAGCATGAAGTGCATTAAACATCATGCTACTTCAAGATTTCACAAACTTGGGTTTGTAAATAAACTGCAGGGGCTTCATGCCTTTAATGAAAAGCTTATATGTGACCCTGGAGCACAAAACCAGTCATAAGGGTCAGTTTTTCGAAATTGAGATGTATGCATCATCTGAAAGCTGAATAAATAAGGGATATATATATATATATATATTAAAGGCTGGGAAAAGCATTTCAAAGGATGAGACCCAGAGTCTGGAGATGTCTATGTGTCGCACACTCACTGCTGTGATCGCACGCAAGAGATCTGCAACTAAATATTAGCTTTTAATCTTTTACATCTGCCTTAAGTTCGTCTGTCCCAATACTCGTGCTGTTATTTTAGAATAACGTCAATCAAAATAAAACACCTACTAAATAGTAAGCTATTTAATTTGTTTACCTGCATGTCATGTGAAGGTTAACCAGCGGAGAACCGCGAGACTTAATTATTCGAATATTTATTTTAAAATCTCTGGGTACTTCAAGTAAATATATTAAGCCAAAGAGCATCCGATGACAGAAAGTTTGGGAATGCCTGCATTACATGCAAACAAGAAATGATGTGAATTTGTGTATTTAAAAAATTGTGTGTTCTTTCAGTGTCTGAAAAACAGGAAGACTTTCTGAGTGTGTGTAAGCGGCAGGCTGTTTCAGAAAGAACGTTTAAAAGATGAAAAAGAGGAATTAGGGAAAAGCAATAAGTTCTGAATAATTTATTGCTATTGTGTGAATTATAAAAGTAACTAGTCTGATTACAAGTATTTTAAAGTGTAATCTAATCCAATTACAAGTACAGATTACATTACTATCAGTTACTACCCAGCTCTATGTATATATATACACTACAGTTCAAAAGTTTGGGAAAACCTTTGTTTCAAAAACATATTTGTCAGCACAACTGTTGATAATTCTAATAATAAATCAGCATATTATAATGATTTCTGAAGATCATGTGACACTTTATACTGGAGTAATGATGCTGGAAATACAGCTGCACATCACAGAAATACATTATATTTGAAAGGATGTTAAAATAGAAACCGTTATTTTATATTGTAATAACATTTAGCAAGATTACTGTTTTTTTCTGTATTTCTGATCAAATAAATGCAGCCTTGATGAGCAGAAGAGACTTCTTTCAAAAACATTACAAGTCTTACTGATCCCACACTTCTGAGCGGTAGTGTATATGAACATTAAGTATTCTGAAAGGCATTTTTGCCTAATTGTTTATATTATTACAGGGAGTTGGTTCAATGTAATATGCTGCTTGAAAGCATACTGAGGTAAAAAGTAGTTGTTAGTAAAACCGCCAAAAATGGTAATAAAGCATGGTTAGTTTTAATGAACTTGTAGCAGTATGCACATAAGTGAAGTATAATCTGCTTTAAATCAAACTGTGTGTGTGTTGTGTTGTGTGTGTGTGTGTGTGTGTTGTGCAGTGCGTGTGTGTGTGTGGTCCTCAGTTCCCGGGAGGAAGTGACAGCTACCTGGCCATCAGCGGCGAGGCTCATCACTTCCTGTCCTCCTCAGAAGTGCGACTGTCCGAGGTGAGGAACACACCACAAGCTCAGGTTGAGCTGCTTCTGAAGGAATACATCTCCTCGGTGTGCAGAGTGACCTTTGAATATGTGTGCAGCTTAACAGTTTACTCATGTTGAATGTTCATGCAGCTCTTTTCCATACAATAACAGTTCATCTTGGTTAGTCAAGATCCAAAAAGGAACAAATATATAATTTGACAAGCAAACCGTCTGAATGCAGATTTACTGTATTATTATTATTACACTGATGTTCAAACACTTGTGGTCAGGAAGATGTGTTGACAGAAGCCTCTTCTGTTCACCGAGGCTGCATTTATTTGATCAAAAATACAGTAAAAATTGTGAAATATTATTAGAATATAAAACAGCTGTTTTCTATGTGAATCTCTGTTAAACTGTAATTTATTTCTGTGATGCGCAGCTGTATTTTCAGCATCATTACTCCAGTCTTCAGTGTCACATGATCTTCAGAAATCATTCTAATATTCTGATTTGCTGCTCAAGAAACATTTCTGATTATTATCAATGTTGAAAACAGTTGTGCTGCACAATATTTTTGTGGAAACCGTGATGCATTGTATTTTTCAGGATTCACAGATGAACAGAAAGTTCAAAAGAACAGCGTTTATTTGAAAATAGAAATTTTTTGTAACATTATGAATGTCTTTACGGTCACTTTTCATCTATTTAATGCGTCCTCGCTGATCTAAATGTTTGGTTTTAAGCACGTTTTGTTGAGTTTAGCTGACCTGAATGTCTGTTTTGGGTTGAGTTCTGCTCATTCTCGTCTGGTGTCTGCAGAAGTTTCACACTCCCAGTCTGGGCGATGAGGATCTGGATCTGGACCCGGACTCAGCGCTGGGCGTCTCTGATGTCGTGTCTGATTTCGGAGAGCTGGGTGACGGCGGGCCGGCTGGCGTTCCCGGGAACGCTGTGGTCGGAGGGAACGACCCGTCATTCGCCTCGACCTTCGTGAACGCGCCGTCACAGAGTCTGGAGCACCTGAGTCTGATGAGCGGCGGACCGATGCTGGGGTCTGCACTGGGAATGGTGCGGAACAACACACACACTCACTCTCTCTCACACACACACACTCTCTCTCTCACACACACACACACACACACACACACACTCACTACAACATCCAGGATCTAAGAATGTATTCCCTTTCAATGTTTTTATCAGGGTTTTATAGAACGTTCTTTTCAGGAATTCTAATTATTCGTAGGTTTTGTCTATAGAACATTCTTAGGAAACGTTTTTTTGGCAAAGCTTTTTAAAGAAGGTTTAAATAAAGTTTTTAATAAATTTTTTTTTTTAAATGTCCGTAAGTGTAATTAAAAATGTTCTCAAGTACATTTTTTTTTAAAAGTTTTTAATGTTTATTTTTAATAATTGTAAAAAAATTCTAAATTGTAACAAATTGTAAAAAGTGTAATTAAACATTTTTTCTCAAGTACATTTTTTAAAAGTTTTTAATGTAAATTTTTTTATAATTGTAAAAAAATGTAAAAAATAATTGTAAAAAAATTTTAAATTGTAAAAAATCTTCAAAAAATTGTAAATTGTAAAAAATTGTAAAAAGTTTTTTTTTTCCTCAAGTACATTTTTTTAAAGAAGAAAATGTAAGATTTAAGACGCATTGGAGACTAACTTTAAATTTAAGAGGTTATTTACAATGATTAAGAACATTTCTTTTTTTTAAGAATTAAAATTATTCTTTCAATTTTGTCTTTAGAACAATCTTAAGAATAAAGATAAGAACAATCTTAAGAAATATTTTTGGGACGACCTTCTTAAGAAAGAAGTTTAAGAAAGTAGTTTACCTCTGATTTTAGATGCACTGGAGGCTTTCCTAACTTTAAGCAGTTATTTACATTGATTTATAAGAAGATTATTTTCAGGAATTCAAATTAAGTTTAATTTTTAACAGTCTTGAGAAAAAAGATAAAAACATTCTTACATGTGTCTGGGAAAAATTTAAGATTTAAAACTAACGATTGTAAGATCAATTTAAGACTTATTGGCGGCTATCCAAACTTTAAGAGGCTAATGAAATTAACTTCAGGAATTCCACATTTTTTGTCTTTAGAACAATGTTAAGAAAAAAGATAATTTTTTTTGAAAATAAATCATTTTTGGGTGAAATGCTTTTTAATACGTCTCTAAAGATACATTCTTAGAAGTCTGTAAGAACGTTCATAAGTGGAGTTCTTAAGACGTTCTCAAAAATGTTCTTCAGTAAATTGTAGTTTTTTTTTACTTTATGTTGGTTTAAGAATTATTTTTTAGCAATACAAAGTATTCTTAAGTTTTTATTTTTTTGTATTTTATTAATTTTTTCATTAATTTAATTTGAATAATACAGATTATTCTCAAGTATCTTTAGAACAATCTTAAGAAAATATAACTTTTTTTGGGGGGGGGCTCATTCACTAATAATTGTGTAGATTATTCGTATTTATACTTTTACTGCAGCCTATATGATGAAATCATTTTAAGATGAGACATACATTTTATTGTAATTATATATATATATAATATAATTATATATAAAATGAAACGCTAGATATAGATAGATTATATATAGACCGGCCAGAGTGTGATTTTTTGCGAACGAGAATATTTTATAATAAATTTTAGTACGAACGCTTTAGTGAACCATGATTTGTTCGTAAAAAAAACAAAAACGTTCGTACGTAGGTTTCACGCACAAATTTATGCGTACGTGTGCTAAACTTTTATGATGATTTTCAAGAAATTTCTTTTCAGGGATTTAAATTATGTCGTCTTTAGCACAATGTTACGCAAAAAAAAAGGTCTTTTTAAAATAAATAATTCTGGGGTAAAGCTTTTTAAGAAATACGTTTCGTAAGATAAATTCTTAGAAGTTTGAAAGAACGCCCGTAAATGCAATTCTCAAGTGCTCTTCAGTATTTTGTAGTTTTAGTTGTTGTTTTAATTTGAAATACACAGATTATTCACTGCAAAAAAGAAAAGTAATCTTAATTCAAAGGCTAAACCAGATTATTTTTCTTGCCCCATTGGCAGATATTTTTGCTATATTAGCAAAAACTAACATTTTTTTATTTTTTTTATTATTATTTTTTTTTTTAGAAAACAAGCCTTAAAAGTAATTTTACCTGTCAAGTAAATGCATCTTGATTCAAGAATGTTCAGATATTGGTACTAGAAAACAAAACAAGACAAGAATACAAATGAAGAAGATGATTTGGCCGTGTTCTCAAGTATCTTTAGAACAGTCTTGAGTAAACCGGTGATTGTTTTACGTGAGGATATGAAGTGATCTGTGGTCTGTGTCCGGTCAGAAGAGCGTTCTGGTGGACTCTCCGCTGTCTCTGTCGGGTGTTATCTCCCTCTCGCCGTCTCTGTCGGAGCAGCCGGCCTTCCCAGCATCCTCTGCCGCTCCCGCGCGGAATAAGGGCAAGAAGAAGAAAGACCCGAACGAGCCGCAGAAGCCCGTGTCTGCGTACGCACTCTTCTTCAGAGACACTTAGCAAAAACTTAAATTTTTTTTTTTTTAGAAAACAAGACTTAAAAGTAATTTTACCTGTCAAGTAAATGCATCTTGATTCAAGAATGTTCAGATATTGGTACTAGAAAACAAAACAAGACAAGAATACAAATGAAGAAGATGATTTGGCCGTGTTCTCAAGTATCTTTAGAACAGTCTTGAGTAAACCGGTGATTGTTTTACGTGAGGATATGAAGTGATCTGTGGTCTGTGTCCGGTCAGAAGAGCATTCTGGTGGACTCTCCGCTGTCTCTGTCGGGTGTTATCTCCCTCTCGCCGTCTCTGTCGGAGCAGCCGGCCTTCCCAGCATCCTCTGCCGCTCCCGCGCGGAATAAGGGCAAGAAGAAGAAAGACCCGAACGAGCCGCAGAAGCCCGTGTCTGCGTACGCACTCTTCTTCAGAGACACGCAGGCCGCCATCAAGGGCCAGAACCCCAGCGCCACCTTCGGAGAAGTGTCCAAGATCGTGGCCTCCATGTGGGACAGTCTGGGAGAAGAGCAGAAACAGGTGCAAACCCTCAGCGGTTATAAATTCACTGTAAACCACGGCTTCACGGGGATTACTGCTGTTATAAAACGGTTATTCCATATACGTAGTAAGGTTCCACAAAATAAAACAGAGCAAATAAAGTGTAATGATATTAATAAAAACAGCATTCTTCCACCAAACAATGTAGTTCCTCAGAAACAGTTGTGGTTGCAACAAAGTGGTTGCCGAGCAACAGACAAACGTAAACAAAGGCGTATGTTACTTTGTAGAGTAATTTACAACAGCTTCGAACGCGGCTCAGCCAATCAGAATCAAGCACCGGAACTCTCCGGTTTATAATCATAAATAAACATGTATAATTAAAGTATACTGAATTAATTTAGATGTAATATAATATAAATCACTACAATTAAATGAATGGAGCCATTGAGTGTGTTGGACGTTGAACTGGAATGATGGACATAAAATGAACTTAAAGCAAAGCAATAATTATGTAATTATGTTTGAATAATTCGAAAAAACGTTTTGTCTAAAATCAGATCACTACGCATACAAAATGTGTGTATTATAATATAAACATTATAAAATATATGTTTCTCGTTCCTGCTCTTTTTCTCGCACTTTGTTCTTTTAAAGCAGCTCAAGGCGAGAAATGGTATGTTTATAAATGACAAGCAAAATAATGAATAAAATCAACAGGACAGACGTAGAAATGAAGTTGAATTATCAGCTCTTTTACTGTCAGAAAGGCTCTCTATAAATAAAATGTGTTATTATTATTATCTAACAGCAGTATGACATATTCAAATAAATGTTCAGAATAATCATTCATATGAAGTAAAACTACTTAATCGGCATAGAATTAATTGAATTATTATTAGGTATGATGAAATGAAAAATTGTTATATTGTTGTCAGTTAGTTGTCATTTGTTTGCTTTCATTACTAATGTTATAAAATGTTTAAAATGCATTGATCTTGCCATGAAAATAGCAATAAACAAATAATAAATCATTAGATATAATTCATTAATGCTGACTCAAAATGGCCTTTCGTTAAATTAACCGAACGGCACCTTTTTTGTGCTAATAAACTTAAAATAAATATATAATGTAAAACCTGAAAATGATCAAAATACACACTTTCTGAAAATAATCCAGTCATAAAAATGCGAATTTAATATAAATGCGTAATCTAAAAATGATCAAAATAATCGCTTTCTAAAAACAAGTCAATCACAAAAATGTAAAATTAAAATAATGCATATTATAATTACAATAAATTATTTGTAAATACATTATATGATCAAAATTAAGCACTTTATAAAAATAAATAATAAAAATGTAAAGTTAAAATAAGTCATTGTAAAATAAAAGCCAACAAAATAAAGTACTTTCTAAAAAAATTAAGTGTCTTTTTTTATGCTCTTGAACATTATTGGATTTGTTTGTCTTGTTGCATGCATTTATTTGACACATTGACTAAAGTGCATTTGACTGATCAAAGTGTTTTTCCTTCTCAGGTGTACAAGAGGAAGACAGAAGCTGCCAAGAAGGAGTATCTGAAAGCCCTGGCAGCTTATGAAGCGAATCCGCTGTCGCAGGTGAGCTTCAGACGGCTAGTAATAATCAACAGTATTACCAATAATATTGCTTAACCATATAGGATTCACAAGCCCATTTACAGCTGGTATTATCATCCGTCTCGACTAGTCAAATCTAAACACAGCTCAGCGTTTACTACCTACAGATATATAGCACAGGCCCATGAATTGGCTGATGCTGATAATTAAAAAACATCACAATTATACGCCTTTTTTTGTTTGGCTGATGTGTCTGGGGACTTTTATTTTGACATTGCTGAGAATGCCAACTGTGCCACATCCAGTTTGATGCTGTGTCTTATTCCTGTCACATTCTCTCTGTGCTTTATGTAAAATCATCACTACTTTTGTAAAATCATCACTTTGTATAGTGATTTTATAATTTCTAAATACAAAGCAAAAAGTAAAACTGCATGACTAAAAAGCCAATAAGGGCTCCTCTGCTGCCATTTACTGGTTGTAATAAAAATGTATTATTGTTTTAATTTACATAAGTGTTTGTTTACCACAAAGTATATGTTGGTCATCCCATTAAAAACAACATTCAAACTGGAGCATTTTTAGAGCTTTAAAGTGCTGGAAACAGTTGTGTGAAAAGCTTGAAAGTCATTAAAATGCTTGAAGTTCTCTCTCAAAAGGTTGTACAAACGCTGAAATGAATGATGTAATAACATAAGAGTATTTCTGCCGCTGGTTATAGTTAGCGTTACTGCTTCTGGTTTTCTGTCTGATCTGTTAATAACAGAATTCTGTGCAGAGTTTGAATACTTCTCACTAGATCTGGCAGCAATCTTTCGCACCATCAGAAAAAATAAAGTCTGCAGCCCTGCTTGTGTTTATTTGAAAAGTATGTTTAAGAGAACCCTTGTTAATGTGGTGTTGATTTTCTGCAGCAGCCGACTATTGAAGTGTTAGACGCTCCGGCGTCTCCTCCGGAACCCGTCACGCCGCCGCGCTCCTCCCGCATCCCGGTGCACGCGCCCGACAACAACACCATCACCAACATCTGCACCTCCAACATCATCCTGGACCTGCCGCAGGTGACCACGCGCTCGCGCACCGGCGCGCACAAACCGCAGGCCCCGCCCCCCGCCAACAAGATCCTCATCTCCAAGCAGCAGCTGCAGTCGCCGCGGCAACCCCCGCCGCTCCAGCAGATGCAGAACACGCCCCCTCCCCCGCGCCTGCAGCAGATGCTGCATTCCCCGGCTCCGCCCCCTCTGCAGGCCAAACCGCGCGTGATCGCCACGGCAACGCCGCCGCTGCAGATCAAGATCGTCCCGGTCGCTCAGAGCAACGTTAGCGCACCGATCATCATAACGACCGCAGTGTTGCCAGCCGCCGAGGTGCCGCCCCCCGCTGCCATAGTAACGGATCTGTCGCCGACGGCAACCGAGGAGGTCGCTGAAGAAGGGGTGAGTCCGAACTCTGTGTGCGAAGATCCTGTTCTGAACGAAAATTCTGTTTTTCTGTTTTGTTGGTGAAGAAACTGTTGATGCAAACTAATAATAGATTAAATTGAAATAAATATAAATCAAAATTAACGCTTTGTAAATATAATTAAATCATACAAATATCAAATATATGATTTGAAATATATTAAAATAAACTAATTGTGACTCTGGAGCACAAAAGCAGTCTTAAGTCGCTGGGGTATATTTGTAGCAATAGCCAACAATACATTGTATGGGTCAAAATTATACATTTTTCTTTTATGCCAAAAATCATTAGGATATTAAGTAAAGATCATGTTCTATGAAGATATTTTGTAAATTTCCTACCGTGAATATATCAAAACTTAATTTTTGATTAGTATTATGCATTGCTAAGAACTTCATTTGGACAACTTTAAAGATGATTTTCTCAATATTTAGATTTTTTTGCTCCCTCAGATTCCAGATTTTCAAATAGTTGTATCTCGGCCAAATATTGTCCGATCCTAACAAACCATACATCAATGGAAAGATTATTTATTCAGCTTTCAGATGATGCATAAATCTCAATTTAAAAATTGACCCTTATGACTGGTTTTGTGCTCCAGGGTCACAAATACATAATGTAAAAATAAAAATTATCAAACTAAACAGTAATAATAAATAACAATAAATCACAAAAATTAAATTTCAAATATGTAACTTTTAAAAAATAATTAAGAAACACTTTATACATAATTGAATAGTAAAAATATACATTTAAAATAAATAATTTAAAAATAAAAATGATCAAAATAAACACTTTCTTAAAATAATTAGATGATACAAATGTAAAATTTAAGTAATTTTGTAAATTAAAATGATCAAAATAAACACTTTTTTAAAAATAATTAAATCAGTGTAAAATTAGAATAATTGTAAAATAAAAGCAAAAAAAACTTTCTAAAAATTAGATCATAACATTCAAATTAATTGAATGATTTTAAAATAGAAATGACCGAAATAAAGCACTTTCTGTCAGTTAAATCATATACAGTAAATGTAAAAGTAAAATTAATAATTAAAAAAATACAAACAATCAAAATAGAACACTTCAAGAAATTAAATCATTAATACTTTGAAAAAGGATAAAATAAAAATTTTTTTTTTAGGAAAAACCATTAGAAATAAATTGAATCATAATATAATATAAAAGGTAATTTTAAAGGGGTCATGAACTGCCTTTGTTTTATGTTTTGTACTGTTCACTAAGGTCAACTTACAATGTCATCAAGATAGGCTTTTTTCTGTCCTGTTTTAACCCCCTCATCAGAACGCTCTGTTTGAATAGGTGTAGACTCGGAAGTAAACGCCCACTGCTGTGTATGTTTGACAGTCTACGTCCTTCACAGATGCTCGCTGCTGTGATTTAGGTTAAAAACGCATAACTCAATACATATCAAATGAATGAAAACAGTTACTCACACTTGTGTTGTGACATTACTGTCGGATCCAATATAGTCGGCACAGCATTGTCTTTCAGTTTCACTATTTTTGAAAATCTTGTCAAATTGTGCCTTGTTTGTAAACGACTCCGCAATTTCTGCATAGACCCGCATTTGCTGCTCTCGTTATTTACACTGTGCGTGAATTGGTGGGCGGGGCTAAACAGAATGCTGTAGAATCGGTGGGTGGGGCTAAACAGTGCTGTAGAATCAGTGGCGGGGCTAAACAGGCAGTGCTGTATAATCAGTGGGCGGGGCTAAACAGGCAGTGCTGTATAATCAGTGGGC